AAGAAGAAAAAGTGTGACAAATTAGAGGTCAAAAAGAAATATGGGTCCATGTGTTTCAGGGGCGGGATATTATTCCCAAAGAAGAAAAATAGTAAGTGTAATGCCCGATGCAGCCTGGTCTAAAGTCTACTGTGTGATAGTGCTTTTTAACAGGATGAAGGCAGAAGTGAGGAAGCAACAGGTAAGCAAGAGGCTAAAGATGCAAGCAAGCAAGCAAGCTACTAGTCATCAACAGTTACATTACACTGAACATGAGAAAATATAAATAAATGAATCCATGTTTGCTCAGGAAGGCAATACCTCATGCTTTGTGTAGATAACTAAGGAAAACAACGTAACCTCGAGGGGAGCACAACAAAACAACATGGGGAGAAAGTCGTCTCCCCCGGCAACGGTAACCATCATACAAATCCCCAAAGAGGAAAAGGAGATGTCTTGAAATCATTATTTTTGGCTTAAGGCCTTTGCTACATGGAAAATCCTGTGACATAACCAGCAGCTTAGTATTGCATCACACTTTAGGGTAAATATTACCTAATTCGAAACACAATAAAGGGGAGGTACTGAAATAAAATTAAAAACAAAACAAAAACAAGTAAAGTGCAACTCAGACATGATCAGATCCACAGGAGGGTGCTACAGTGGCTGGAGACATGACTGGTGATGTGCCTTTGTGTGGGCGGGAATCTCACAGATGACAGTCGCGTTTACGCTTCATCGCAGATAACCGTCTCCACCACAAATGTATTCTCAAAGTGGCGGATGTGGTGGCAGTCCTTCGTGTCACGCTTGTTGATGCCTATGAGGGAAAATGGGGCGAGACACAGAGAGGCGATCAGCCGAGTCGCTGAACTTCAGATACAATCACAGCTTAAACGATAAACCTCTTAATCCCCCAAAAGAAAACAAAAACACAGGCATGTATCAGCTCTTTTTAATGGTCCCATTAACCCCAACGTACGCCTGCGGGTGACGCGGCGGTTCAGGCGGTACGTGTCCTTCCCGTTGCACAGGCGATAGATGAAAGGTCCCAGCTGACGCATGTTGTGCACTTTGCCGGTCACCACCATCTCTTCATGGATGATGTAGGTCTGAGGCAAGTATGTGCCCTTCTGCAAGAGACACAGTAACAAGCTCGGTGGGAACACAAAGGGGCTGATGATGCTGCAATACTAATTCTTGAGGGGACTGACATCTGTGGAAATTTTCCCGAGTGACTTTTAATGCTGGCAAATTGTAGCAGAGGAATATTTCCAGTTAAACAACACCAAAATGGTGTATTAACTCAAATTAATTTTAACTTTGCCAAAAGTATCAACTCCTTCGAACATCAGCAAAGTAGGTTAAAAATTTTTTTCTTTAAATTAAAAAGCTTGGGAAGCTTCGACAGACTTACTAAGCCATGCTAGTTGTTAGTGTGTCCACATAAGCAGTGTATCAATACATCACAGAGTACACCAACGATATTACAAATAAAGGAAGAAACAAAGTGGGGTGGTTTTCTTCTTATTCATTTCTTACACTGCTAAATATGTTAGCTTCCAGCATTTGGTAACAGCCGGAGATGTCGCCTAAGATTGGGGCTGTGTTACCTTGACATTGATAAGCAGCTCCCAGAGGTTGCGCGGAGGCATCACAATGGTGGTGTTGAGCTCGATAACGTAGCACTTGTCCAGAGCAATGTCATGGTATGCAGTCAGTCCCTGGAAACAACAACAAAGCAATCTAATTATGACCAGTTCTCCATTACTGTAGAGTCTTTACCTTACAATGTAAAGCACCTTTAGCCGACTAGAATTTCATTTGGTGCTTTACCAATAAAATTAAACTCTCATTCTCATTTAAAAACAAAAGCAGGTCAGTATTTCACTGACTGAACTTTGATATTTAAAGTAAGTCAGTAATGTTAGCTTTCTGTGTATTTTTCAACTTTTGTGGTTGAAAGATAAAGCCAACGTGGAATCGGTGAAGACCGCAGTTCTTCAAATGGCCACTTGTTTACAAAACACAGTTTTGTAATTCGCCTGTTAAAAATTGTAAAAAGCCTTAAATGTGAATGATTATCAGGCTCACTGTACAAGTGCATGGGGCTGAAATTCCAGCATTTATTTGCTTATTTTCTCAGCACCAAGTAGCAGGTGTCTGTGTCTGCAGTGCAATAAACCCATGTAGTCTATGGATGCACTTTGCTAACAAAGCTAGTTAGCATTAGACGACAGCTTTGCACTTTGGCCAAATGAGCAATGAGTATACAGTATAGTTAGAGTCCACTTTCTGGTAGCTGTATGCTTCTTTCCTATGCTCTGCACTCACTCCTCTGATGCAGCCGAATGAGCAATGAAATCTGCCTCATGTTCATATTTTTCCCCCCATTCTTGTCACCTGACAAAGACAACGAATATGAAGTCTTGTTTTTAACGCAGCCTATGAGCTGTGTGGAAAAACTCTAACTGTTCTATACTCCTGGACTGCAGATTTTCATGAACTCAGACAAACTCCATGTTCACATTTACTAGAAGAAGAAAAAAAAGAAGTTATCATACTGAAAAAAATGTTACAACCCACATTTTGGCTCAGAACTGCATCTATATGTGTTGTATTTGAGGCTGAACCTTGAAATACACATTCTGGAGACATGTGAGTGTGGCGTTAATGTGTCTTTAAGGGGTAGAATATCAGACCTATATGTAACATGTGTATATTTGTCCTCACTCTGTGGAAATCATGGATTATATCAGCAGGGTCACTTCCTCCAAAGTGAGGCACGGGCACAGTGATCTTCTCGTAGTTGTCGGCCAGGTAGATGCCGACATTCTCCTCCAACTCCTGACGGCCACGCAGCGGAGCGTACACAGAGTCTTCATACAGCACCCTGCAGTGGAACAAGTTCTCCTCTGGGATCTACACACATGCACACAGATCAGCTTTTAATGCAACACAGCAGCCAAGAAACACGACTGCAGCAACATTATCCGTCTCAGATGGCAGTGATTACAATTATTTATTGTTTTTAAAAAGAAGGACATTTTCCCCCCCATTTTTTAGTGCAGTGTTTCATTGCAAGGCCAACAAGGGCACACATATGGCACACTGCAGAGCATAATCGGGTCTTACATGAGGTATGAAGTAGTAGCGGTAGACAAAGATGGAGGCTAAAACCAGACCAGCCATGAAGACCACCAGACCAAACGTCAGGCAGCACAGGCCATTGAGAGGAGACTTCTTGGGCCGCAGGGGTAGGACCAGCTCCTCCTCATCCTGGAGGACACCACAAATGCACACATTAAAACTTCGAGAAGTGCACAGAGCAGCATTTCTAGCCAGCTTCGATTCGATCGCGTGACGGGTGGCTGAAAAGAAATCTGAATTTAACTGCAGGAATTAGCAGCACGGATCTCGGACAGGAGGAAAGGCTGATGGAGACGGCGGGTAATGAAAACTTGACTTAGATAGTGAGTAATCTTCCCAGACGCCTCCAGTCTCGCAGCCCATCTGCTGATGCCACGCGCCCAGCCAGTGTTTGGAGGGTGGCACTACACACGGTTAGTCATTATTGTTGTAAAAGGAAGCGCGCGCACACACAGCGAGTGGCTACTATCTGAGAACTGGCTCAGCGAATTACTGTAGATGTGCTGCAGAGTAACTACAGCAGGAGAAATTATCTTGTGAAAAGCAGACTGTAAGGAAACAAAGGGCTGCTATTATTAGCTGGAGCTATGAAGAGGAAAAAAATAACAACTGTGTGCATGTGAAAAAAAGACTCTTTGAGGATACCTCAAAGAAAAATGATGGCAACTGTGTTTGCGTGTGTTCCTATTATTATTATTTTTTAAAAGGGAGAGGACTTCAAAATGCTTGAAAGCTTTCACCAGCCACCCCCTCACCCCACCAACATTGCGTGGTATGGCCCGAGTGCCTAATTTCAGGACACCGCTTTTGCCATTTGAGCTGAATTTGATTCTCCAAGCCTTTGTTCTTTGGAGGGAGCATTTGGAGGGTGCACGAGGACAAGGAGACAGCAGTGTATGTGTGAAGGCAGACTTTTGCAAGTTCTTTGTGTTCCTCCGTCCCACTGAGATGGGATTGTGGCAGCAGCTGAGTGCGTGTCACACCATGAGGCCTTGTCTGTCTGTCTGTCTCCTGTTCAGTACATTTGGAGGAGCGCAAGTCACTCAGGGGCCGCAGCTCTGCACTCCTGCGATATTCACTTCCTATGCAATGCCGGACGCCTCCTCTGTATTCTGTCGGTGTTTGTCGTCTCTGCTGCTCAGCCATGTATTTTTTAATAAGAGCGATGCAGGGGGATTCCGCAGCACAGCAAACTTCAGGACTCCGCAGCTCTGCCTCCCTTTAGAGCTGTGACAAATAATCCTGCATGCGCTGCAAGCCTCGGCAACCCATCTGCCATTTTGTCATCCCAAAGCTCTGCATTTCTTGCATTCTACCCCCCCCCCCTTTTTTTTTTTTTACCCCCCCTACCCTTTTTTTGAAAGCTTGGGGGTTTTGTTTTTGTTGAATACATCAGCACTGCAGGGGAAATCGACAGATAAACCAAGTACAAAGCCTTTAAATTGGTACATTGTGGCTTTTTGGGGGGGTAATCCCCCCAAAGCAGCCCTGATTAAAGAGCAAGCATTTTTGCACATAACTTGCATCAAACGTGCACAAAGCGCGCTGGCGCACAGGAAAGCATCACAGCAATGACATGTTTTTGTTCCCAACCAAATGTCGATAGATGCTGTCAAAAAAAAGGGGAAAAAAATCCCCCTGCTGCTGCTCATGACCGAGCAGGTGCAGGCTGCCCTTCGGACCAAGCAGGCAGGTGAGCCTGCTGGACACACAGCAGGCATCGCGTTACATAAAGACCATCTACACACAAGAGTTGATATCATGCTCGATTATAATGGGTTAAATGTGAACAGGCGACTCTTTTGCTCACCATCGGATGAGGAAT